TCAGTACTCCTCTAAATTTTATATGTAAACTGATCTATGGTATGGAGATGTTTGAGGTTCAGGATTTATAAACCTGAAGCTTTGCAGGTTTATGACTAAGTGCAAACTTTTTGGGTTTATCTGTCTTTGAATAGGTTTGATGATGAGTGGATGTTTAGTGGCACATCAATAGAGATGTTTGGTGTTTTATATCTTCTAAAATCACTGTCATAGCTGATATGTTTCTTATTTTAAACAAATATCTCTGAAATAATTGTCCACATGATCAGTTGTGTAAGGCATCAGATTTTGCCCCTTGGTATTTAGGAAAAACCAAGAAGTGGCAGAACATGGGTTAATCAATTATGGTATTTGATTCTGTGATTTTGCAACTTCTTTTAAATTGACTGCTGGATTTTCAGGTCAGAATATTTTCTATTCATAAGTTTATCTTCTGGCACTTATTTCCTGAGGAATGCATAATCTTAGACGAAAACTAGGGTTATAGAGTAGTTTTCAGGTTCACTGATTCTGTGCATAAGGTTAACATTTGGATCATGGATCGACCTACAACTAGTCTATTGGTTCCTTCTGCTCATACCATGTCTGTGTGAACTCATGCATTTGCATCAAGGTTACAAACATCCTAGATTGTTTCGTTTTTCCTTCCCTTTTAGGAGATATTCTTGTGTGTGTATATATGAGAATTTTCAGTCCTATGTTACCTGGATTTAGGTCTGATATATTTGATTCATGTGTCACTAAGTATCCATTTAGCCGGTCTAAGTTAGCAAATTCTAAGTGTATCTTGAAGGATCTAGATGGACTAACACCAAGTTTTCAATCTAGGTATGTCAAGGCAACTGAAAGTCCACGTAACATAGATTTATTTGAAGTATAAAGTAAGCATGGAGATAATGTCTATTTTATGGTAGATTTCTCGGGCATCTTCTTTGATGTCTTAAAATATTTGCCATTGGCCCCTTGGTTCTCTTAGAGATGATTGTTATGATAAGGTTTCAGGAAATGTCCATCATACATGCAGAATTAAGATGATAGCTTAGCCACCAAACAAAAAGGGCAGGATGGATGTGGCTTCCAGTGTCATTCTAAACACTTATAAGAAGTCTTCCTTCAAACATTTGTTAGGGTTATTTTGCTGAGCTTTAGGCACCAGCCCCTAAAAGGTTTTTTCATATCAATTTGTGTGGACTAGAACTCACCTCTTTTGATTAACACAAAGGTATTGTATCATTTATTTGAAAGTTGTGAAGTTTATGTAGTACTTAAAATAAGCAACTGATATCAGTTATCTTGTTCTCCGGATCCAGTTACAAGGCTCTTTTTCTTTTGTGTGTTGAAGAGTTTCTGGTTTCATAATTTGTACTTGACATGGTCTTATACTTTGATATTTGAGGAGCGATCTCAGTTTCACAGTGAATTTTCCCCTCATAAGAGCTCCTCACACTCGCTAGTTGCCACAATTTGGAACTAGTATATGCTTAGAGAATCTTAGAATTACATCCCTTCCAATTACAATTCTTGAGCAAGTTAAACATAAGAACATCTTAATAGCAGAAGTCCCTACTTGCATAAAATTCATTCGAGAGAGAACTGGTGTCTATTGATTTTTATTTGGGATAATGAAACCCCATTCTGTGGATTCCTTTGTCAACTTGTGTCCTTATAAGATTGCTTCCAAAAATGTACGTGTTATATTCTGGAGTTAAACATTTATTTGGGAATACCATGGTTTATAAGTGTCAGAATTAAGGATGTGCATGAGATAATTGGTGAAAATTGCAATGCAGGACTGTGAAATAGTAACACACAGGGTAGAGTTTTCTGTACAATCATTTATAATGTCTATTTTAACAAAGTTACGCTGCATCACACTTGATGTTACTGGTACACTGATTGCTTACAAAGGAGAGCTGGGTGACTATTATTGCATGGCAGCCAAAGCTGCTGGGCAGCAATGTCCTGACTATAAGCGGGTTCATGAAGGTTTTAAACTAGCATACACAGAAATGGCAAAGAAGCATCCATGTTTTGGATTTGCTGAAAAGATTCCTAACATTCTGTGGTGGAAGACTTGTGTCAGGAATTCCTTTGTTCAGGTATTGTGCATGACATTATTTTGGGATATTTTGTTGTCAGTATTTTTATATATAATCTCAGAAGCCATTTGTTCAATTTATTATAGAACAGTGGCAGAGCGTTTTAGTATGACTGTCGAATTATGATTTGAGTTCTGAACTGTAATTATTTTCTGTTTCTACTGATATTAAGTATCCTTTCTTTTGACAGGCAGGTTATGAATATGATGATGAGACATTTGAGAAGATATTTAGACGCATATATGCTACTTTTGGTTCTTCTGCACCTTACAGCATATTTCCTGATGCTATACCGTTCCTCAGATGGCTCCGCGAGAGGGGCGTTACGGTTGGGTTAGTCAGCAATGCTGAGTATCGGTATCGGGATGTAATTCTTCCTGCATTAGGCTTGAATCAGGTAACACAGTGGTTCTCATTTCATTTTTCTGTATTGTATCTTCTTCTAACATTTTTTGGCTGATCTTAATCTTTTTCCAAACATACTAAAAAGCCATCAAGTAGTTGAACCCCTTTTTGTGTGTGACCAAAATCAGGGATCTGAGTGGGATTTCGGTGTATTTTCCGGTCTTGAAGGTGTTGAAAAACCAGATCCAAGGCTATATGAGATTGCCTTGAAGAAAGCAGGAAATGTAGCACCAGAAGAAGTACTTCACATTGGAGATAGCTTGAGGAAAGACTACTTACCTGCGAGAAGTGTTGGGATGCATGCTTTGTTGTTGGACAGGTTCAAGACTGCTGATGCTGTCGATTGGAGGAAATCTGGTGCCACTGTGCTGCCTGACTTGATCGCTACCAAAGAATGGCTTACCTCTGAAAATTTGAAATGCAGTGACCTGTGAAAGTCCTGTTTGATTATTTTCTTGCCTATAATGGTAGGTAGATTTGTATTACAAGAATGGTTATGGGTTCTAAGAATGTGATGAGGAAACATTTAGTTCAATATGCCAGATGCCGTTGTATCTGCATAATATTAGAATGACAAGAAGAAATAACTATACTCATCATGACTTCAATTACACCAAAAGTTGCATATATGACTATGAAAGAGCTAACTTTATTCTATTGCACATATATGTTATCACCTATATATTTTTTACCTTGTCAACATATTCAAATCTGGGTCCAAACCTATTGAGTATTAAGCCAAACAAACACATTTTGTAATTCAAAGTGTATTGATTCAATGAAGGACAGTAGTATAACAGCCCTTCAAAGATAGAAGTGCTAAACACAGACTAAAATCTATCTACCACATTGCAAACTTTCTGCTCTAGAACTATAGATATTACTTGCACACTAGAGAGCTTCAAACAAAGGCAATTATTGGTTTGTAGACATGCTAAACCATTAAGATATTGACTTATCGGTTATTAGTTTAACCATTAAGATTTGACAAAAAAAAAAATCATTGAAAATCACTTTAAAAAAAGGTGACAAACCAAATGAACCATGCACCTAAGTTGACAGATTGTATCTTGCTTAAAAGTAATCACCAACACATTATAGAATAACCGAGAATTTGGGACAACCAGAAACAAAATGTATGAAACCAAATTCTAAGTCAAATACTTTATATGTCAAATGGTATAAATATAATTATTTAATTTACTATTGTGTTATGGATATTCGGTTAACCCATATTTCTTAGTCTGATTGTATACATGGCGAGAGTATTTATAAATTATACAATCACTTGTCAATAGCGAACTTCATTAAAGAATAAAAAAAACTAATGCTCAATTAACTTTTAATATAGTTACTTAGTTAGTATAAGTTATAACTAACTAATTTCCCAACAAACAAGTACTCTTTTGCCCTTTTCATCCTTCAACAATATTGAATAGAATCAATTACTGATCTACATTTTTTAAATTATGATCTTTCATTTATAAAATTTTCTTTTAAACTGCTGATTATTATCATAGTATCACTATTTTTGTGTAAATTTAGACAAATAATTCTTATTTCATATTCATTTAAAACCAACTATTGGGAGAATGTTCCATCAAATTATTCTAAAATAAATAAATAAATGAAAAATAATAATTTAATACGTACAAAATATTTGTGATACAAGATCCAAAAGGTAATAAGAACAAACCTAAAGGACTTCAGTGCAAATATTTTTTTAAAAGTTAACTATAAAACGGACACAGAGGGAGAAAATGCATTAAATATACAAAAACTGCTTCAATAAACTGATTTTACTTTGAGAAGATAACGATTTCATTGAAACAATTTCTCTTTTTTCATCCATTTCAAATTCTTGGTATGCTTCTAATCCATTTATTTTCTCATTTCTTGTGTAAAGATTTGATCTTTTTGTGTAAAAGATGAACAACAGCTTTGGGTTCACACAAATGAAGCCATTGTTGGATTGAAAAGCTTGCATTTTTAGTGATTTTGTGCCTGTATGTATTCTTGAAATTGAAAAATGAAATGTTAGGCTTTAATCTGGGTAATTGTTAGATTTTCTTGTTCTGAAGTTTTTCTTCTAATGCCGTAGCAGCTCTTTTACTTTTTTCTTGTTGTTAGGAAGAGGCATTATCAAGATGATCTCATTATTATTTTTTCGTCTAAATTGACTTGTGATGTTTCTGAATCTTGAATTCAACTGGTGTGGAATAGAACTTAGTCAGTCGTGTGTGATTTATCAAATAGTCATTAATCAAATGGTTGACGAATTTGTTTTGACAAGAAAGATTTTGTCTCTCATGCTGAACTGATGGTGTTATTCATCATATGATGTGACATTCCCATCCAAAGGGGTCTCATTTATCTGATCCTAAGTAGTTTGGGATTAAAGAATTGGTGAATAGGGTTAATGCAGTTCAGTAGTCCTCTAAATTTTATATCTAAAATGATCTATATAATGGTGTCTGTTGATGTTTATTTGGGATAATGAAACCCCCTTCTCTGGATTCTTTTGTCAACTCGTTTGCTTTTGAAAATGTATGTTTTATATTATGAAAACCATGATGTATAAGTGTCAATGGCTGCTCTTTATCTGATAAATGCTTGTCACTGAATTAATGATATGTATGACATAATTGCTGAAAATTGCAATGCAGGACTGTGAAATAGTAACACACAGGGTAGAGTTTTCTGTACAATCATTTACAATGTTGTCTATTCTAAAGAGGTTACGCTGCATCACACTTGATATTACCGGTACACTTATTGCTTACAAAGGAGATCTGGGTGACTCTTATTGCTTGTCAGTCAAACTTGCTGGGAAGCCATGTCCTAGCTATAAGCGCGTTGGTGAGGGTTTTAAAGTAGCATATGCAGGATTGGCAAAGAAGCATCCATGTTTTGGATTTGCTCATAAGATTCCTAACTATGTGTGGTGGAAGATTTGTGTCAGGGATTCCTTTGTTAAGGTATTATTTGTGCATGACATTATCTTGGTTGTCAGCTTCATAGATAATCTCAGAACTTTTCCATATGACTGTAGAATTATGATTTGAGATCTGAACTGTAATTATTTTATGTTTCTACTGATATTGAGTATCCTTTCGTTTGACAGGCAGGTTATGAATATGATGATGAGACATTTGAGAACATATTTAGTCGCATATATGCTACTTTTGGTTCTGCTGCACCTTATAGAATATTTCCTGATGCTATACCGTTCCTCAGATGGCTCCGCCAGAGGGATGTTACAGTTGGGTTGGTCAGCAATGCTGAGTATCGATATCGTGATATGATTCTTCCTGCATTAGGCTTAAATCAGGTAGATAAACAATGGTTCTCATTCTTCTTCTAACAATTTTTGGCTGATCTTAATCTTTTTTCCATAAATACTGATTTACCATGAAGTAGTTGTGAACCCTTTTGTGTGTGTGACCAAAATCAGGGATCTGAGTGGGATTTCGGAGTATTCTCTGGTCTTGAAAAACCAGATCCAAGGATATTTGAGATTGCTTTGAAGAAAGCAGGAAATGTAGCACCAGAAGCAGCACTTCACATTGGAGATAGCTTGAAGAACGACTACTTAGCTGTGAGAGGTGTTGGGATGCAGGCTTTGTTGTTGGACAGGTTCAAGACTGCTGATGCTGTCGATTGGAGGAAATCTGGTGCCATTGTGCTGCCTGACTTGATCGCTACCAAAGAGTGGCTTACCTCTGAAGTATTGGAATGAAGTGACATGTGAAAGTCTGTTTGATAGTTTTCTTGCCTATGACTGGTAGATTAGTATTACAAGAATGGGAAAAAATGAGCTATCAGTTCTATGAATGTGATGAGGAAGCATTTGGCTCAATATGCCACATGCTGTCTTTTATTCTCTCTGTGGCAAGCATCATTATGCCCAGATAGAATATAGTGTAACTAACTGTTGATTGAGAAGTTGCTACATAAACCACATGCACAATACGTAGCAATCTTATGTCCTGTCGACCTGGTGCACATTTTTCCTTTTGCAGTTTTGTATTGAAAACGACTTGTTGGTTCAATGAAAGCATAGTGGCACTAGCTTTGTTGTGGATTCAATTGAAACTCCAAGAAGTGAGGTAAATTGCCTTTTTTGCCGCTGCATATGCCTCCCTCCCTTTATGCCACTGGTGATGAACTCGCAATGGACATTAAACGTATAAATGTTTTAAAAGCCATTTATCATCAGTTAAATACTTTAGCTGTTGAGTTAAATCTAAATACTATTCATTTTTCTTTTAAAAGTTTTTTTTTTTTTTGTATTTAACCGAGCACTTTTAGTAAGGTAATAGTTGATTGAGAAAGCAAAGTGTAAAGTGTAAAAGGCAAGAATATGAGCTGCTAAATATTTTGCAAAATTTTATGACAACATATTTCAATAGTGACTGCCAAAAACTTCTTTTTTTTTCTTACGAGAATTTTTATGAATCGAACTCTAAGGGATGTAATATCTCAATATACCTAAAATCTGCTAATGCTAAGGACTTTAATCAGCTTAAAAAAGTGAAGGCAAATTGCAGCATAAACCTCAAAGATCAGATTAATGTTGGATGCAAAAAGCTATCTTGTAAGGCAAATGTTTATCATCAGTAGCAATTTTTTCTTGCAAGATGAATTTCACTAGCTACTTCTCTTTTTTAAAATATTAAATTCCTCTTTGCATGTCTAATAGTTTCTATTTTTCCTTCTGTCCTTTTTTTTTTTCAGATTGTAATTGGTTTTCTACCACCACACCGACTTTGGGTTATATGCCTTTAACTCAGTTGTATGATCAGAAACAAGGTTATCTTGTGGTGGAAGTTGTGTTTAAGCATAGCGTAAAGAGCTTATCTTAATTTGGTTTACAGTTTATTTGAAGTTGTGAGAGTATCTCCACACACTAGTAATCAACGGCTTAACCAATAATTTTGATCTTGAACAAAAATTAAAGTAAGAACGCACATCACTTAGTCATGGTTAAGTGATAAATCTTGTTTATGAAGACGCATGTCTTGCATTCATTGGTTGGATATAAATCTCTTGGTATGGATAACTTTTGCCCTTCTATGTTATTGGTGATGTTGTCGATTGCTCATTTTATATCCAACTGTAGTTTGTTATGAAGATCATTTGGCAGACGGCAGTTTTGTTATTAGTTTATTTGGTGAATGCCTATGTTTTCCCTTCTATCAAATGTATAAATTCTGTTGCATATATTATTATCACCTATTCAAATCTGGGTTCAAAACTATTGAGTATTAACCAAAACAAACACATTTTGAAATTCAAAGTATATTGATTCAATGAAGAACAATAGTTTAACACTTGAACAGCCCTTCTAAGATAGAAGTGCTAAACAGTGGCCAAAATCTTTCTACCGCCTTGCAAACTTCCTGCCCTAGAACTATACACACCATACAGCTTCAAACAAAGGCAGTTACGCAGCTGATTAGTGGGTGATTCAGCTATTGACGTCTACAGGGTAATAAAAATGCAAAAACAGAAAACATCTCAAAATTAAGATTGAAAACAGCCTTATGGATTGAAATACTCAAGTCTTAACAAATAAAAAGGTAGAACTAATTAACTAATAAGCACGTCTATGATCAGGAACTTCAGCTGCAACAAACTCCTGCCAAAACAAGTGAATAAACCGGCAAAATTTTGAACAACTACATGACATGCATTTTAACATACATAGGAGCACTCATTTGAGGCGAAGACCTTCACCTCTACTCCTCTTGTGCATCTTTATTCTTCTTTTTCTTCTTCTCCTTCTTCTTGCTTTTACTTCCTTCATCGTCACTTCCAACATCACCATTCTCTGATTCTTTATCTTTCTTCTTCTTCTTTTTCTTCTTCTCGGACTTCTCCTCATCTGAGGATGCAGCATCATTATTCTCTTTGTCCTTCTTTTTCTTTTCCTTTTTCAAGGACTCTACATCAGGGGATCCAGCTTCATCAGCTTCTTTCTTCTTTTTCTTCTTCTTTTCTTTTTTCAGTTCAGACTTCTCTACAGCTTCCTCGACTAACTCTACCTTTGGTTTCTTTAAAGCACTGGGTGCAGGGGATACATCTAAATCATCCAATTTTCTCTTGTTGGCCTCCTCATCATCTTCCTTATGTTTCTTCTTTTTCTTCTCAATCTCACCATCAGCAGCAGCAGCAAGACCAGCTACCATAGTATCCTCTTTGGTGGATAAAACAACATTTCTCGACCACTCAGCTGGAGTTTTATCATTTGGCTTACCATGTTTATCCAACTTACCCTCAGCAACCAACTTCTTCTTCATTGAAGCCCTTGGTCCTAAGCCCCATTTCCTAGGATAAGTATCCCTATCCATCACCACTCTCTTAATCTTTGCAACCACACCATGATCACAAGTTCCCATAACAGCCGTGGTCATCTCTGCAATCCCCAACGCGATGGCCTCCCCCTTAGTAGTCATCAACACAACCTCCTCTCCAACCTCAATATCATTCTCAAACCTTAGAAGCCCAGGAATCATCAACTTTGCACCATAGCAAATAGCATTAACTGCCGAATCCTTAACCACCAACCTCTTATAACTAGTCAAAACTACCTCCAACGGCATAATGACCCTCCTCAAGTAAGTCTCATCCCTATAGTTATCATACATCCATTGTGCATCCATCACATCATGCATTGTCACCATATTATTCTTCTCACCTAAAATCCCAGACCTTACTCTCCTAAGCTCCTGCATATGTCCACCCACACCCAAAAGCAACCCAAGATGAACACACAATGTCCTAACATAAGTACCCGCCTCACACGATATCCAAAAAACAACCAAATGCCTATCAGCATCATACTCAAGCAACTTACTTTCATAAATAGTCCTAATCCTAAGTTGCCTTTTCACAGCAGAAATCAACGGGGGTCTTTGAAAAACAGCCCCAGTAAGAGCTTCAAGTGCTCTAGCAACCTTAGCAACATCAGGTACATCAGAATGCAACCTAGCTACACACACATACTCCTTACCCGCACCCTGTTGGGACTTAACCAAACGGGTCGCTCTATCAATACAAACAATCAAATTCCCAGTAACTTTAGGATCCAAAGTACCACTATGACCCGTTTTCTCGACCCGAAGGATCCTCTTAATCCAAGCTACAACTTCATGTGAAGATGGATTAGCAGGTTTATCAAGATTAAGAATACCATACCTTATATACTCAGCAAGCGGACGCTTCAATGGAGAATACCCAGACGGGAGAGGAGTGTAGTGACCCGTTCTGACATTGAGACGATCGTAGTTTTTCAAGAGAATCGGCCATTCTGAAGTGTCAATGGTGGGGGTGTAGCTTTGAGGTTTGATGAGAAAATCACCATCAATTGGGGTGGATAGTGTTTGGGTTTCGTCTTCATTTTTGCCAGACTTTGATTTCTTTTTCTTCTTCTCTGAGCGAGAGAGCTCAACGTCAGTCATGGCGGCTTTCGGTTAGGGGGGAGGGGGGTAAGTTTCAGGTAGGGTTTAAGGGTAGGATTTCTAGGGTTTTAATAGAAATGAGAACGAATATTATATAGGGTGGTGAGGAAGAATACAGTAGCAGGGTTTAGGGTTTTTGGATATTTGGGTATGACTGATTTGTGGTGAAGTGAGAATGGTGTAATTTAATGGGCCCATTTGGATTGGGCCACATACATATTAAGGCTGATATTATGGGCCGGAAACACAATTGGTTCAATTTCAACATTTACAGAGCCCAAACAAATTTTCCTTCTTTTATTTGTTTTAATATAGAGCAAACAGTACATAATTACTTACCTTTTTGTGAGCTTTCAAAATAACCATTTATGTCAATTTCGGTTCCCAGATACATGTATCTTTTGCGCGTCCAGATACATGTATCTTTTGCGCGTCCAGATACATCTTTCTCAAATACATGAGGTCAAAAATAGGTGTAATTTATTGTATATACACTATATCCAAATGAATTTGCATGTATCTGACACTTTTAATCGCCTATTTTCCATATCTCTCCTCCCTCCTACCTCCTCTCTCACACACCTCTCTTCCTCTCTCTCTCTCTCTCTCTCTCACCTCTCTCTCTCGCCTCTCTACCTAGGTATCTAGTGTGATATGCATGTATCTAGGATACACAGACTCTCTCGCTCGCCTCTTTCCCTCTCTCACTCGCCTCTCTCCCTATGTATTTTGAATTACAAAGTGTATTTTGTGACAAAAATACAAGTATCTAAGTGTATCTGACTTGAAATCTAAAATGATATTATCAGTTCGTGGGACAATATGTATAATTATTTCAAACTCTAGGAAAAAATAGTAAATATGGTAGGAATGTTTGTGTAATTAAGTAGTTTTTCCTTTATTATATTCCCTTAAAACTAAAGCTTACAAGAATATCTTGAGGCAGACTCGGAATTTGATGATTGCGGAGTATCATTATGTTAACTCTTAACATAGATGCTAGCGAATTTTTCAATGATGATTGAGGAATACTGTCATGAGCAATGACAGAAATATAAATATATAGATCAAATATGAATTCTAATTACCTAGTCCCTCCATTTCAAAATAGATGATATTTTATCATTTTTATTTTGTTTCAAAATAAGTGGTGTATAGGTGATTAGAGAGCGTAAAAATTACACTAATGTACTAGTATATTTATTTGTTATTGGATTGACAGCTAGTGGCTTTCTGGTTGGTGAAAACAATGCATTACACACATAATATTTGAATTCCATTATTGCAATAATTAGAGAAATGGGAAAAACAAAGAAGAGAAAAACCAACCAAAGAAAGACAGAAAGAGTAAATGGAGAATTACAAGTGGTTTTAAATGTAGGCATCCACACTAAAGCTCCCGCTATGCGCAGAGTTCGGGGAAGCTGATGAACCTTTTCAAAAACTCCTTTAGAAACTTGAAATTGGAGAAGCAAATTCCAAGAGCTCTTCATCACATTCAAATGCCAACATATGTTGTTCTTCCAAAGTCACCATAGCTTCAACACCATCCATACTTTGATCAGCACTCAATATGAAGAAATTCTTGAATGGACCCATTGGTGCACACACTCTTTCAGGTTTCCCCCATCCAAAATCTATGCTATAACCCGAAAACTTGCACATGTTGCTGCAATAATAAGTGTCAAATTCGTCAATCGCGTATGGTGATTCCATTATTTCAAGTAATTTCAACACCAATGAATTGTGCTGAACAGGGTCTTTCTTGTATACTTGCTCGAATTCCTTCCTAAATTCGCGAACCAATCTTGGCAACTTCATCTCCTCATCGTGACTTGCTGTTGTGGAAGTCACAGTGAGGAGATTTCCTATAATATTTCGCGATAAAGGGGGTGTTGTCATTGGGCGTATATCGACATAATTAATCAATTTAGATGGCCTGAATGAAGTGTTATTCATTTTCGATGCAGCCTTTGTAGCTGATATGAACAGAAGTGCACTCGTAACTTCTGCTCGTGTTGGATTTTTGATCCCCGCTTCAGCTGCTATTTTTGCTCTAAGGCCCTGTAATTTGGAGGCAGAGAAATGAAACTTTTTGTGTACACATTTCTCCAATTTGGAATCAATCAATGGTGCAATTAAAGGTCCATTTGGGGTTGGAAAAAATGTGTCACCAATAAATTGGGGACGAGCGATTTGATTTGGATTTCGAGTTATTTTAGCCCAATCATAGATAAAACTTGCCACAGAGCCACCATCACCAACTTTATGTGACAGACACGTACTGATTGCTATTCCTCCACAATCGAAATGGCTTAATTGAGCCACGAGTAGACTTCCATCGAACGAATTTTTCCAAGGTAAATCTTTCATAAATATGTTCCCTTCTGCATAGTCATGAGGGTTGTTCAGCATTTCGGACATGGGACAATTTATTCGAACATTTAAAAACTCGATTCCCCTGTCATTGCATTCGATCGTGGCACTATCTCTCATTCTTCCAGCATAGGGATAGTAAGCTGATAAAGTTGTTGCTAATGAATTTTGTAGTTTGTTAGCTACTTGATCAAACTCTTGTTGTTGCTTAGAGTAGAAAAATACTAGAGGAATGTACAAGTGACTCAACGATTGATCGATAAACGAAAGCTTATGGTATTTAAGTGGAGAAGGGGTGGGCAAAGATGGTTTCACAATGATTTTTTCAGTTACTGGTGAAACAAGTTGTGATGGAGCTATAGCCATGATTATTTTCTTAATATGAACAAGGTCTTTGATGTATTGCCAACTTCAATATAACATGTGTATATATACACACACACAAGAAGAAACTATTATAGTATCATACTAGCATACACTCAATCCTTGCTTGTGCACTTTGTTTTTATTATTGATAAAAGACAAGTAACGAATCTTGCTCCAACAAGGACAACTAAGTTTTATCATAAATCCCTGACTCGATTAATTCAGATTTGCACCAAATAAATCCACTAAAGAGGATAAGTGCTACATTATGAACAAGTTTTATACTCTTAGGTTTTAAATTTGAAACGTCTAATTGAGGTGGAAGAATCCTAACCATCCTATCACACGCCTTGGTGGTAAGAACAACTAAACTTTTTTTTTTTTTTTTGCACTTTAAATATCTGGAATCAGAAATTGGCTCGATTAATTTAGATTTACATCGGATAAGCCGACTGAGGAGGTTAAAATGCTACCTTACCAAGAGGTTCTATATTATCGGATTTCAAACTCAAAACCTCTAATTAAAGGTGGAGGGATCCTAACTATCCTACCGCACCCCTCGGTAAAATAATAACTAAGCTAAGAGGTGGTTTAGTATTCATTTTGATTTTTTGTATTTCTTGTGAAGAGAACGGAGTTTCATAGGCTGAAAGAATGACTATTTCTCTGTGGCTCCGAAGGATCTAATGCCTAATTGGATGTTTCAAGATAAACTCCATTAATTTATTAAGTTTTTACACTGAATTTTGTGGAATTTGTTATAAGCTAAGATTATGTAACTACTGAGCTAATCAAATTGGTTCATTGATGATAACTACTCTCTTTTAGTCCTCCTCTTATTTAAAAAAATAATAATTTGAAAGGATAAGAATAAGATTCTAATTTCAGATTTTATTCATAACCAAAAGGTATTATTAAAAACAAAATTTAGTATAAGACACATCAAATGAAACAAATGTAGTATTAAAAACCAAAATTTTCACCATTAAACTTAAAGTAAAACTTTTTCAATTCAAATTCAGATTAGTTGGGCTTCAAAATATATAAGGGAAATGATGAATTCAAATTAGTTGGGCTTCAAATATATAAGGGAAACTTACATAAGTATGCTATATCAAGAAAATATTTATCATATCATTTATAGTAATAATATTTTTTTTCCACTTGAACACTTATAATACAGTTTTAATTATGTGTTGCTATTCATTTTTTTAATTTCTTTTACTTGATGTCCAATACATTTAAAGTGGCACATAAAATAACTAAAAAGGTCCTTACGAAACACGAAAAATAATGCGTTTTGGAGATAATTCCATATTTTTGTTCTCGTTTTTAAGTTGTCGACTTCGATTCCACAATTAAATTAATCACCTCTTTTTTGGACAAAGGATGTAGATATGAAATTTCTTGTCATGTACTTAATCTCCAAGATGTATTTCACAATATTTCATAAATCTTGAAGAAAACATTTCTCTTGATTGTGGAGAAATCTTCTTCTTTCATATTGTGTTGTAGATTTAGAAGTGGACAAATTTATTTAATTTCACGTATAAACTATATTTTCTTGCGCAATTAGTTTAAGAGTTGATTTTTCTCTATAATTTTTATGTTTTTATTAATTTTTAAATATTTAGTATAAACTATAGTTTTTATGCCAGTCAATATCACTGCATCCTTTCATTAATTTTGAGCTTGCACCAATTTTCTTTAATTTCATTGTATACGTACCTCACACACATGCTTGTTTGAGAATATATATTGATTTTTATTTTTTTTTATTTTACTAATAGACACAAATAAAATGCATGTGTGACACATGCAACACACAAATATTAATATTATTCAATATAGACATTTACATAAAGCCACTAATATCATTGAACCGACCCATAGGACTAGTAAATATTAATTAGAGGAAGGGAAACAAGCTCAATTAACTTTTAAAATCATCACATCTTAAATGAAATTCATGAAGCAGAATCAAGTCGCTATTACTTCCAAAACCTTGAAAGGTAGTTAGGAAATAAGTTGAAGAAGTTCTTCATCGCGTTCAAATTCAGACATATGTTGTTTGTGCAACATTACCCCCACCAATTTTGTAATCTTTCAAGAAGAATACGTTCTTGAAAGGGCCATTTGGTAAACCAACTCTTTTAGGTTTTCCCCATCCAAAATCCACATTATAGTCTGGATATTTACAAAGATTACTACAAGCATACACATTCTCATATTCATCATCAAATGGTTTTTTCCCTTTTCTCATGGATTCTACTACTTCTAAGATCAATTCATTTTCTTCCACTTGATCTTTCTTGTACGCCACCTCAACTCCCTTCCTTAAATTACGAACCAACGTTGGCAACTCAATGTCTTGTTCGTTAGTTGCTGTTGTGGAGAAAATGGACAAAATATTTCCAATGGCACTTTGAGGTAGACGAGATTTGAGCAAACTACGTACGTTTAAAAAGTGAACAAGCTTTGATGGACGACGCATAAGCATTGAAGTAGTTGTACTTGATGCCGCCTTAATTGCACATTTGAAAAGTAGCGCGCTCACAACTTCAGCCCTGGTTGGATTTTCTACTCCCGATTCTGCTGCTACCTTCAAATTATGTCGTATAAATTGAATTATTAAATATCTTAAGAAAAAGACCATAAAAAATAATAATAATGGACTTGTGGTATATCTGATTACCTTAGCTCGAAGTGCATCTAACTTGGTTGTAGGAAAAATAAATCTTTTTTGTACACATTCACTGACATTAGATAACAATTGTGGCGCAATAATTGGACTATAATTATTTGACGAGAAAATAGAATCTCCTACAAATTTAGGAGCCAAAGTTGTTGTCATACGACCACGAGTGATACGGACCAATCATTAAGGAAATTGAGTACAGAGCAACCATCACCAATCTTGTGCGATAAGCATACACTGATAGCTATTCCCCCACAATCAAACTTACTTGCGCCACAAGTAAATTACCACCTTCATAGTTATTCGCCCAAGGCAAGTCCTTGGGAAAAACTATACTCTCTGCATGAGATGCATCAGGATGATCAAGTATTTCAGACATATGACATTTTATTCGAACACTCAAAAACTCAGCTCCCATATTGTTACAATCAACAGTAGCATTGTCTCTCAATTTTCCAGCGTAAGGATAGTAAGAGACTAGAGTTTTTGATAGAGATGTTTGTAGCAAGTGTGCTATATGAGATAGTTCATTATGAGAATAATTAGTTGACTCCTCTCTTTGTTGTACTTTAGGGTAAAAAAGTGCCAAAGGAATATACATATTACTATGGAATTGATCAATGTAAGACAGTTTGTGGTATCTAAGAGTAAGTGGGGTGAGAGAAGAAGGTTTAATAAAGGTTTTGTCACAAACTGAAACAAGTGATGGTGATGATAATAATGCAAAAGCCATGATTAATTTAACTGATAACACAACTTAATCCTTAGATAATTTGCTCTATGCAATGGTAATTAAGATTGTTGATTTGCTTCCCCATTTCTCATATATATATATATATATAGACACATAATTTTTTACCTGCTCTAGTTTTTTTTGTTTACTCTGTTTAAAAATAAAATAAAATAAAATAAAAATGAAAAGATTCCTTCTCTTCATATCATTTTTGGTAACAACTCTCATGTGACCTCATACCATACACACATGACTCCACTCACACTTTTCCACACATACTCACGTTTTTTTGGCTTACCACATCAATTCCATATCCACACATACAGACACGAGGATTGTTCGTATGATAAGCACTCTTTATGTTTTATCTCCAATCTTGATGTTGCGGTATCGAGTCACACGTATACATATACTTGCAGGAGCACGATGAAGAGGAGGGGAATGGATTATAGGATGAGAGGTAAAACTTCATGGGGAGGAATACACATCAGACACAGATATAAGGCAAAAACAGAGTTTTTTTTTTTTTAAAAAAAAGAGGCAAAAACAGAGCAGGCGGACACAAATAAACAAACATATGTTTAGTTTAGATCTTGCAAACTAATTCGGGGAATAAATAATTAATGCTAAAGGTAAATATAGAATCTTAATATGTTAGAAGTGACAAGTAAATAAAAATCTATTGATGAAATAGAGAATAAGTAAAAGTGAACGTAAGGAATTATTTTCCATTTTATATTAACAGTTAGCTTTAACGAAAATATCCTAAAATAGTTAGTATCACTTTTTAAGAATTCAAAATTGAAGTAGTCAATAATTTTCAACTATAGCCTAATTTTTTTTAAAAACATTTTGTTTAAAAAATATATTGCTCAATTTTTTTTTAAAAAAAACATCTACTATAATAAATAAGGATAACTTAATAGGTGTTTGAACATGTGATTTGATATCGCGATATGAAATTATGAGATGAAATCAGTGTTTGGATATGTAATTTTACACTGATTTAATATAAAATTCTCCAAAAATTATGTTTTGGGATTTTTCAAATACAAAAGTTGACCCAAAATTTTATATTTTGTAAAAACAACCCCATATCTATATCTACTAACCATTTATTTCATATGTAAATAAAATTTATAATTCATATCATTACTTTTTAAACCATTTACATCTCATATAATGATTATTCTCACTAACATAGAATTTATTATTACTTCAAATCAATTTCTAGTTACCATTTATATTCATCAAATTCGTTATTTTTTATCAATTTATTTACCAACCAAATTGATCAACAAATGACTCAAAGTAACAATGTTGGTTCGTCTTCTCAGTCGTATGAACGAGAAATGCAAATTTAACGTGAGAAGATTGTCCGTACTATGTGGGAGGACTATATTAAAGACTAGTATACCACAACTTATATATGTTTAATTTAATTTTTTTATTGAATTAAAACTTGATCAATAGATATTGTATTTTTAAGAATATCTTTGTGACAAGAGTATTATGAGATTTTATAAACTTTTGTTTATTTGGTAAGATTGTATAAAGAATTGAGACAATTTTAATAGTTATACTACTTGTGGAGTTTTTATGTTTATGAAAAAACATACAATATAAAAAGTTAAAATCGCATGTCCAAACAAAACCATCACCAATCTTATGCGATAAGCATACACTGACCGCTATTCCCCGCAATCAAACTGATTTGATTTTAAAAGAGTTCATACATATAAACACTATGCTAATTCACAATTGTTTGATACAATCTCTAAGATTAATACTAAAGTTATTTGTACATATTATAAATTGTTGAATTCTTGTTGCAACAAAAGCATTTAGTGTAACGTCAAAGATGGTTACTAAGTGACACACGAGATGCACATGTAACACAAAGAGTACTAACATTATTTAATATAGACATTTACATAAAGCCACTAATTTCATTGAACCATCCCAAGATGAACTAGTAAATATTAATTACATGAACGGAAACAAAGCCATCGCAACATAAATGAATTCCATGAGGATATTCATAAAAACTTGGAACCAATTAGGAAATAAGATCAAGAAGCTCCTCATCGCGTTCAAATTCAGACATATGTTGCTTCTGCAACATTACCCGCGCATCCACGCCTCGACCAATTTTGTAATCTTTCAAGAAGAATAAATTCTTGAATGGACCATTTGGTAAACCAACTCTTTCAGGTTTTCCCCATCCAAAATCCACATTGTAGAATGGATATCTACAAACATTACTACAAGAATACACATTCTCATAGTCATCATCAAATGGTTTTTTCCCTTTTCTCATGGATTCTACTACTTCTAAGATCAATTCATTTTCTTCCACTTGATCTTTCTTGTACGCCACCTCAACTCCCTTCCTTAAATTACGAACCAACGTTGGCAACTCAATGTCTTGTTCGTTAGTTGCTGTTATGGAGAAAACGGACAATAGATTCCCAATGGCACTTTGAGGTAGACGAGATTTCATCATATTACGTACGTTTAAAAAATGAACAAACTTTGATGGACGACGCGTAAGCATTGAAGTAGTTGTACTTGATGTTGCCTTAATTGCACATTTGAAAAGTAGCGCGCTCACAACTTCAGCCCTTGTTGGATTTTCTACTCCCGATTCTGCTGCTACCTTTACTCATAAATATCATGTCAAATTATGTCATATAAATTGAAACAGAGAAGAAAAAACCATAAAAGCAAATAATAATAATGGACTTGTGGTATGATTACCTTAGATCGAAGTGCGTCTAACTTTGTTGTAGGAAAAATAATTCTTTTTTGTACACATTCACTGACATTAGACAACATTTGTGGCGCAATAATAGGACTATAATTATTTGACGAGAAAACAGAATCTCCTATAAATTTAGGAGCCAAAGTTGTTGTCATACGAC